TGGTACACTTCTCGACTTGAAATCCCGACGCGCTTCTTTTCCGGTGCTCCCACGACTCTTCGAGTTACGCGGCTTGAGCCAAGATTCGGTCAATCTTGGCGTGTTCGCTCACATGGATAAAGGTGTTCTTGACTGAAGTCAAGAGTGGCCAAAAACATGAACACTATCGTTCAAGTGGGCCTTTCAGATCTTCGTGCTGGCTCACAACGAACTTCAAGAAGTGACTTTTCAGAGAAGAGGAAGCGTGGGAAGCCTTCGATTTGACAACGCCGCCTCAAGATGAAGGAGATGACTCAGCCTCTCGGCATGTGAGAATGGTGAGACTCGAAGATGAGGTTGAGGTGTTCTATGAGCTTGAGGAGGACGAGCACAAGGATTGCCATGAGCCCATGGTGAACGTCCCAGAAGATGTGGCTATAGTGGCCATGTACCTGCAGGACGATGAGCTGGAGGTGAACATGGTGAAGGTCGATGGATGTGACAGTGAGAACACGTGTCTGGTGACACTGGACAGTGGGGCTGATATATCTGTGCTCCCACGAGACTCTGCTGGAGTTGGAACCAACATGGTGAGCAATGGCGAGCTGAAGATGGTGGATGCTCAAGGCCGGAGAATTGCCTATGATGGGCTGACCCGGGCGAAAGTGAGGATCGATCCGGCAAGGTGGTGGAGATTGTGGAAGAGTTCGTGCTGGGAAACGTCCATCACCCCATACTATGTGCCGGACGGCTGTTGAAGCGCGGATGGAGTCTTGGAGGTGTGGAAGGTCAACTACATTTGAAGCACGATGAAAGACGAATTGAGGTTCCACTGAACACGGAGAGAAACTCGCTCCAATTTGAAGCGAGGATACTGGCAGTGATGACACCACAAGAGGCTGGCACTGCCGAAGAGACCAGGGTGTTTGCACTGATGGGCTATTTGAGCAAGTATGTGAAAGCCCTGGAGATGACTCCTGGATGGCACCGACTACCAAGTGGAGTACTGGCCTGACCAATCCAGCAGGCAGCATCGAGAAGAGCTGCAAGGCAAGACTCACCTTGATGAAGAACAAGGACCACATGTGGAGCCAGCCGGAGAATGTGGAGGACATCTACAGCCTTGGAAATGTGGCCTTCCGCAGAATCTCGATGGACAATGAGCCCATGCGGCTGCTGAGTTTCTTCTCCCCAACAAAGTTCAAGGACTACTGGGAGAGCGGATCTGAAGTCCCTGTCTCGCCATACCCGTGCACTGAGGAATCTTTTGGCCATATGGAGTGGTCGGAGGATGACGCAGAGGAGATGGACGAGCTCGAGTACAAGGAGATGTACAATGATGTGGAAAAGATGGTACTTGCCGAAAGGCCAAATGAGGTTGAGCTCGACCAAGTGCCGTTTTCGGAGAAGATGAAGGTGAAGGAATTGCAAGTGGCGTGCAAGGAGAGACAGCTGCCATGGACAGGTAGTAAGAGGAAGCTGCTTGACCGCCTTCTGAAGTTCAAGGTGCGCTTGGAGACTCAGATGCACTTGGCAGCAGCGAGCAATTTCTATGAGGAACAACAGAGAAGACCAGTGACACTGGGGCAACCAAAGCTCCCCAGTTTGGCAGAGCAGGAGTTGCATTTTGTGACCCACTGGCCTTATGCTCCATGGTGCCAGGCATGTGTAGCATGCCGGGCGAAGGAAGACCACTACAAGAATGTGACTGAGAAGGAGATATGGGAAAGAACATCATCCAGCTGGACTTCTTCTGATTCTACACCTATACTGGAGATGAAGGACGCCTAGATGAGACGCCAGCTGGAAAGGTCCAAGAAAGACAGGATCAATACGGGACATGCTTGCTGCCCGTGTATCCAGTGAGACAAAATCCATCCACACTGTGCCTATTCCGACTAAGGGCAGTGCGAGTCTCAAGAATGTCACGGAGGAGATTGTGAGATTCACCCTCGAGAATGCCTCCAGAGACAATTGCATCCTGCAGGCCGACGGGGAACGGGCCACCAGACAGATTTTGCGCTCGGTGCAACAGGTCAGAAGTGTGATGGGGCTGCACACTAACCTGAGGATCACTGGCACTGGGCAGCATGCCTCAAATGGTCAAGCAGAAAGGGCAGTGTAGACAGTTAGAAGGCTTGCAAAGTGCTTGAGGGCATTTGCTGGAGACAAAGCCCGCATCAACATCTTGGGAAACTTCCATTTGTTCCCATGGTCCTTCAGGCATGCGGCCTTCCTCGTCAACAGGTTCCGGGTGCTGGATGGTTGTAAGAAGACGAGCCATGAACTCGCTACTGGACATTCCTACCGAGGGAAGTTGGCACTGTTTGGAGAAAGTGTCATGTTCAAAAGGATGGACGATCCGGAGACTCCTTCAAGAGCTTGGGCATTCTGTGCGCAAAAGGTCTGCCGTGGAGTTACTCACCGCAAGGCATCCTGATGAGACATGCAGGTCAGGCTCAAAAGTACCGAATGCCCGTAGAAGCCCATGGAGATGAGGAAGTTGGAGCCGACTACATCCCAGAGGAGTTGATGGAGGAGGAATTCTGGGGATATGGAGGCGAAGAAGGTGATGAGCCGCTTGAAGTCAGCGAGGAGGAACTGGAGCAGTTGGACATCCAGGCTAAGGAGAAGGAGATCAATCGGATGTTGAAGATGCCGGCCATGGTAGAGGTGGAAGCTGATGAAGTTGAGCTCAGTGGAGGATATGTCATTTCCACCAAAAAGGTCATGTGCTGGAAACACTGATTAGATCAAGGCGGGTGGTTTCGAAGAGCTCGATTGGTGGCAAGGCAGTTCAGAAATTCAGTACAACTGGAGCAAACATTCGCCCCGACTGGAATGATGTGCCTACCAAAGATGCTCCTCCACTTGACTTTGAACGTCTACCTGGGATTCTCGGTCATGACTTTGGACGTAAAGGACGCCTTCCTGATGTCGCCACAACCTGCTGAAGAACGAGCCTATGTCAGGGTGAATGGTCGCATATTCAAGCTGCTTCGTTGCTTGCCAGGGCAAAGGACAGCTGCATCACAATGGTTCCAATTGTTTGCAGGAGCGTGCGCTGAGTTTGGAATGCAGCAAGATCCGATGCAACCCACCTTGCTTTACCTCCCAGGAGAGATGTACCTAACGGTACATGTGGACGACGTGTTCATGGTGGGCATCACACAACGCCTCAGGGACTTTGTGAACTGCCTGAAGGAAAAGAAGGGATGACCGTTCAAAGCTGGAGAAAAGTTCCACTACCTGAAGCGGGAGTTCACCTTGAGGTCACACCATTGCGATGTGAGGTGTGATAGGACGCAGTATGACAGTTTTGAGAAAGATGTGGACCTGTCCCTCTGGATGCCAACTTCACAAAGAAGGACAACTCATCTGCACTCGAAGGAGGAGAAGTCGCCAAATACCGAAGTATCGTGGGCAGGCTGATGTACCTGGCTGGAGAAAGACCAGACGCTCAATTTGCGATTCAGTGCCTTGCAAGACACATGGCAAAACCCACGACACAGGCCATGAAGCATGCTTGGCGCGTGTGCTCCTACTTGTTCGGCGCTGGAGGCTATGGAGTCCGCATCGACAGCAAGCGCCGTGGACAATCGGTGATGGACATGAGATGCTCGGTAGATGTGGAGCCACTGGAGCAACGCCTCATCGAAGTTGTGACCGATGCTGACTATGCAGGAAATCAGCACGACCGGAAGTCAACGAGCTCCTTTCAGATTTTCATCGATGGGAACCTGGTTGAATCGAAGGTGAGGTTACAGAAAGCCATATCCTTGTCTTCAAACGAAGCAGAGTTCGTGGCGATGGTGGCAGGTTGCTCTGAGGGACTGCTGATCAAGCATCTATGGCAGCAGCTGACAGGTGCAGCATGCATCTTGAAGATCAGATCAGACAGCTCTGCTGCCAGGGCGATGACCCAGAGACAAGGAATTGGAAGAGTAGGCCATCCAGCAGAAGGAGAAAGAGAAGGTGGTGATGATCATGCCCATACCCACAGATCTCAACTGTGCCGACCTTGGAACAAAATGTTTGAGCAAAAAGAGGCACAAAGCTCTTCTGTGGATGTTGAATGTGGTGGACGCTGTTGGTGACCGCGTGGGTGAAGAGGAGTTCCATGAGCTTGAAGAGCAGCGCAACCTGAAGCAGAGCGTCAAGAAGTTTGGAAAGAGCAAAGACATGAGGATTGGATTGCTGATGTTGCTCAGCACTTTGACAAGGGCAACTGGCATGGCAAATGAGGGAGAAGGACATGTACACGAAGGTGTGGATTGGGGCTGGATGGCCCTGTGTACATGCGCTGTGCTTGGGGCCTTGAGCTTGATGAAGTGGTTGCGGGTCTATGTGATCGAGATTTTCGATGGCGCGAAGGACATCTTGATGAAGTGTGTGGAGAAGATGATGGAGAGCAGAAAGGTCACGATGACCTGGAGGATTATGGTGGAAGAGAGAGAAACGCAAACGACCGCGGAGGTCACGAATCCAGACCTCCAGAAGTGTTCGAAGGAACTTGAAGAAGCCCATTTGCGGAATTTCCACCTGGACACTTACATAGAAGAATTGGAAGAGAAACTGAGAGGTGTACAGGAAGTCATGGATGATTTTATGATCCAGACTCGACTCTCGGCTTCTCGAGCCACAAAGGTGGAGAACCAATTGTGCAATTTGCGCATGACCGCAAATGGCAGGGCAGTGCACTTTTCTCCCAAGTGCAAGTTCTGGGAGCGTGCACAGGAAATCCAAATGTGCAAAACATGTACACAGGAAGGAGGAGTGACAAACATACATGGGGGTTCACATGCCCATACATGAGAGTACAGTCCTGTGTACATGACACGCACAAAACGAGACTGCATAACATGGCCGAACACAGGCCCAAGCTCGACAGCAAAAGCCGCACTTTCTCATTTTCATATAATGTATTGACTCAAGGTGGTAAGGGAAAGGTCAATTGTGCCAGTATGCTTCAACAGCCTCAATATCAAAGTTCTCCGTAGACAACGTGACATGCCTTCCAGGATGCTGACAAGAAGAAGACTCAGCAGCAACAGCAGCAGCTTGGTGCCATTTCTTTTGTTTCTTGTTCTCGTACTGTATCATTTCTGGCATTGCAGCTTCGTCCAACTTTTAGAGGATAATTGATTGATAGTCATCAACGAATTGAACAAACAGGGGGAATACAAAGGGGCCGTGAACATGCAAATGAAATTGCAGTAGAAGGGGGTGAAAGAGGTGAAGCCGAAGTTAGCGAAGACAACCAACCCCATCAGTCAGAGCAGGTAAATCAGAGCCAAGCACGTAGCAGCATCGCATGCAAGACCAGCATTTCAATCAGACCATGTCACATTGAAGCACTTTGGCAGCCCGATTGGCGTGGTCATGAATCATGAATGGCGCAGATTCGGATTCATGGGAGCCAAATTGGAGATCGAAGCCTCGAGGAACGCTCTGATAAAGAGAGACGGGTCAACCCCTAATAGAGAGGTGGCAGCCACGAAGTCATTGAACAAATAGGTTGGGTACTGCACAAGCCACAGCTAAGGAAGAAAGCAGCAGCACCCAAGCCATCCAAGCCTGAAGAGGAGGCCTGGGCTAGGAGTTTCTTCCCAAATTCTCAAGATGTTCGGTATTTGGGCCCTTCAGGCGAAGGGCAAGGTGCCTGAGGAGGTTGAGAAAAGTGAGAAGGTCAAGACAGCCGACACTGAGAGTGGCCCTAGTCAGGTTCAGCAAAAGACGCTCAGCATCAAGCTAAGAGCATCGACGACTTGTTGGTTCTGTTGCCAGTGCCGATGTGATGTCTGAAGTGCAAGGATTGATGATGCCGTGAAGCAGGCCAAAGAAGCTGGAGATGCAAAATTTGAATTCGAGGCTCGGAATCAACTCCCACAACCTGCGATTTTATTGCTTCTGGAAAAGGCAGGTTGTGTCATGTATGGTCCCTCGGCCGTTGCCGCTGTGCTGCTTTGCACAGGTCAAATGTGTTTCTGCTCGGGGTTTGCGAGATGCTGACTGGCTCGAAGGAACCTCTGATCCCTATTGCCTTTGCGAAGCAGTGGGCAAGGTGCCTGTGCACTTCAGTTGGCATTCGCACCAAAGGTGGTTTCAATTCGCTCTGAGTGTCTTGACTTTCTTGAGTGCAGGGAATCTAGGCAGTGAGCCCTACGATTGGCCAGCATTGCTCCCACAACTGTGGTCCACTTTCAGAAACATGTCGAATTCCACACGTAAAGACTGCGCCCCAATTGCACAGTTCTGAAAGTGGTAGATGTTCGCCGTAACATGTGAACCATGCATGCCGGTACAAGATTGCTACTTATTCAGTCCTTCAGCCAGGTGAAGTGCAAATTCAAGACCAAGACCGTCAACAACAAAGAGAACCCCGCTCCTTGGCACCTTCTTTGGAATCTTTTGGGCACGACCTGCTCAGTGCAAATTTCATTGTTCGTTTCATCTCGAGGTCTGGAACCAGGCGGCAAAGATGCAACTTTGCCATGGCGACAAGCTGAAGTTCTCTATTTTTGATCAGGTCAGTCCACGCCTGCGATGCCAGCTTTCCGTCCTTCGCGTTGCTTGTTTCGGAGGCATGCGTCTCGTAGGGCTCTATTCTTGTCACTCGCAGATGGGATTTGGCTCAGAGCGGGTCAAAGGGCTAGTAGGGCACTCCCTTGCGTGGCGTCTAGCGCAAGATGAGGCCATTGCTCATGACTGATATGACATATGACTGACAGTAAACCGCAAACGCGTAAGGCGTGATTGTCTATTGAGTCTATTGTGTGACTAATTCTCGTTGTGCTCGTGTTGCTGGAGGGAGCTATGGAGCTGCTTCATCCTACATATGATCCACAGCGCTCGCGGCGATAGCAGCTGTCCGGCAGGTGCAGGCAGGAGTCCGAGTGCCGGCAGAACTAAGACTGGTAGGACTCGCGACAGCTGAGGTGCTGCCTGCGTGGCAGATGAGACCATCACAGCAAGTCAAGTTATTCGGCAGATGCCGTCGATGCCGCCAGCGCCTACTCCACAAGTGGACCTAATTGCGCAGGCACCGCTGCTCGCGGCTTTCGGAAGACCATGGGGATCCATGTGGCAAGCAAAAGAGTAAGAGGTTGCAACACCACTTCAGTCGTGTATTACAAGGTGGTGTTTTCCTCCTAGATTTTTGCAATTCACTTGAATACACAGAGTTTTAATTGAGACATATTTTGACGTTCACACTTAAATAGTCACCGAGTGTTTGGCTAGTTACTTCGAAAAAGCAGAAATTCAGTGTATATGGACTTGCGACACGGTGACTAAAGATGAAGCCCTGAGCCCTGAGCCAACTGTTTATCCGCTCTGGCTCGTCAGCCTTTGGTCACACGAACGGTTGCCCCGCTTTGTGCCCGTTCACGTGGGTGCTGCGCTGGGTGACAGGTCCGGCCTCATAGTTTCGTCGTGTGCGCAACCGAGGCTTGCCACGGGCCGACTAACTTTCAACAACCTATTTGCAAGTGGAAAAAAACCACGCCAAACACACACAGATACATACAGCTATATGTACATATATCTATATCTGGATCTGTATTTGTATCTATATATCTACCTATCTCTATCTCTATCTCTCTATCTCCCTATCTCTCTATCTCTCTATCTCTCTGTCTATCTCTCTCTCTCTCTACCTACCTACCTACCTACCTAGCTAGCTAGCTAGCTAGCTAGCTATCTATCTATCTATCTATCTATCTATCTATCTATTGAGTGTGTTCACACACCATACATGGTAGGAGTGAATGAGGGAGGAGGTGGGTGTGTGCCATGATCCCTCCGTCAGGTGGAGTGTTTCCACCCTCTCGGAACCAGGAAATCAGCACCGTAGAAGCCCAGGTGTCGTCTCGAACCGGTTCGTGTCGGGTTTAGGTTTGGGAAGGTATCCGTTCAGGTAGCCATGACAGCCCAAGCCCCGTGGGACGACGACGACCCCCGGGCGGGCACGCCACTGCTATAGCGCGTCGTCCGCTACACGCTTTTGGTATGGGGCTTTCCGCTTGCTGGTGACGTTCGCGGTGTGCTGGCGAGCTTCAACATGGTGGCACGGGTCGCGGCAGAGCCAACTCGAGGAGATCGGAGTCATCTTCGACGCTCGGAGACAGTTCGGAACCAACGTCCACCGCATGGTGTGTGCGGAGCCAGAAACGAGTTCATCACCGCCGAGGCCTCGCTCAGCGTCCGCAGATGCAATAACTGGTTCCATGCGGTACAGGAGAGGTATCGCCCGAGCAGCCGGAGACAAGGAGACCCAGGAGCTCAACGACCCCTCGGGAGTGGATGAACGCGGTGACGGAGGAAGACACGTGGTTTGTGTACAGTCACGCAACATCGACGTGGTTGAGCAAGCGCTCGAAAAGGCGAAAGCTGGCGCAACTACTGGAGGTCTGCAGGGCCGCCGGTGACAGAGGAAGTCCTGACGCAGGTGGCTGCCTTATTGGATCAGACAAACATGCAGTCGTCGGACCAGTATTTGGCAGAACTGAAGTTATGGCATGTGGAGACGCACCACCCGTGGTCGCAAGCCTTGGAGAGGCGCCTCACGCTATGCAAGAAAGCGTTGAAGAGGGACATCGGTCCGGAGAAAAGAGCGCTGGAGGTGAAACTGGAGGAGCTAGACAACTTAGTATGGGATCTAAGAAGTCACAAAGAGCTCGAGCCGGTTCGCGTTGCCTGGTCCTATATGCATGGGCTACGCATTGGATGTTGAGAGCAGCGGAGGCAGCGGTCGTCAAGGCGAAGCATGTGGTGCTGAATTGGAAGAGGAGAGACGCTCGTTCATCCCCAAGTCCAAGACGGACCAACAGGCGAAAGGCGCGTGGAGAACCTTGCAGTGCTGCGGGGACAAACAGTGTGACGTCCTGTGCCCCTGGAACCTGGCAGTCACTGCCTGAAGGACAAGGAGAGCCCACTCTTTCCCACGTACGCTGGCGCCCAAGTCTCAAAAGAACAGATGGTGAGAGCCTGGCAGAACAACCTTAACCCAAGGATGTCCGGGCACTTGGCCAGGAGATCGGGTGCCATGATGTGCACGAGGAAGGGCTTGGGCATCTACGACATATCGTTGTTGGGGAGATGGAAGTCATCCGCGGTGCTGCGGTATATCGATGCCGCTGAATCCGCGCGACAGACCGAGCAACGGCCAAAGAGGCGCAGCTCGACCAGGCGGAAACAGAAGCAAACAGGCCAGAAAAGAAGAGAAAAATGGTGGGTCAGGCTCAGGCGGAGAAACATGAGGAGAACTATGACCCGCCGCACCGCCAGCCAATAGACAAGTCCCAGCTCTTTGTGGTGTCAACATCCGCAAAGGGCAAGATGAGACACACCGTGGCCAATGCGGGCTGGGGCATTCCATTGGACAAGTGGACCACGACCTGCGGCTGGCCCTTTGTCCGGTACCATGTGAAAGTGGAGCTGACGAAATACAAGACGGGAAAAGCAAGAGAGTGCATCAAATGCAAGAATTTGGAGTCAGCGCGCGACAAAGTCAAAGGAGGGTGGCGAGTGGCGCAAACAGTGGACCTCTGAAAACATGAGGCCATTGAAGACCAGACTGAGAGAGACGCGGCTACTTCAAGGAAAAGTATGACTAAGTATGAGCTTTCTTAGGGAGGGAGGAGTGAATGAGGGAGGAGGTGGGTGTGTGCCATTTTGGCTCAAGGCGCACCCATCTCCTCTCTTTTAAAGCCCGCCCACCCAAGTGGCGCAAACAGTGGACCTCTCAAAAGATGAGGCCATGGAAGACTGAGAGAGACACGGCTACTTCAAGGAAAAGTATGAGCTCTCTTAGGGTGGAGGGAGGGAGTTTGAAAACGCGAACTTCCTTATCTATCTATCTATCTGTCTGTCTATCTATCTGTCATTCATTCATTCATTCTTTCTTTCTTCATTTAATTTCATTTCATTTTATTTCATTTTCCTTTTCATTTTCATTTCATTTTCATTTTCATTTTCTTTTTTATTTTCTTTTTCATTTTCTTTTTCATTTCATTTCATTTCATTCATTTCATTTCATTCATTTCATTCGTTTCATTCGTTTCATTCATTTCATTCATTCATTCATTCATTCATTCATTCATGCATTCATGCATTCATGCATTCATGCATTCAT